AAAATTATAAGCCATTTTACTTCTAAATATGTATTTAAAAGATTTTCAAACCATCAAAAGTAGTTAAAATTTTTAATTTTTACCAATTTTTGGTGGTGGTGCTATTTTATATATATATATATATATATATATATATATATATATATATATATATATATATATATATATATATATATATATATATATATATATATATATATATATATATATATATATATATATATATATATATATATATATATATATATATATATATATATATATATTAATCATATATTTTATGTATATTTTACATAGTATATTACTTTATCACGTACATTATAAAATAAACCCGCTTACCGAAAATAGTAGATTTTTAATTAAATTTCCTATGCAAAAACGTTTCACATTAAAAAAGTATAAAAAGATTATAAAAAGACATTACAAGTCATAAAAAAGACGTCTTTTATTCGTCTAAAGATATCTTTTTTCCCCACTGGGTAGTGTATGAATAATCAAAAAAAAAAAAAAAAAAAAAAAAAAAGAATAGTGCTGCATAACCTTTTTATTATTTTTTTACTTTTTTATTTTTATGTCATTTAGGTGCCCGAAGAAGACCTAACGGTCTTGTCACAGTGCACCGCGGAAGTGCATTTAACCTGGAAGTTCTCGCCTCCTTTCTTACCGTGACGCAAAAACAAAGCAAGCGTTCTATCAATTGTGCCACGGCCACTCTTTCTCTCGCATAGGAACACCCAACTAAAACTGCTTGGCAATCGTTGGGCTGCTTGGCAACCGTTATCGATTAAAAAAAAGATTCGGTGATACCACCTATGATGGCTTGTATGGTAAAGATGCAAAAACGATATATACTTTAAAATACTTAAAAAAAAAAAAACTATATTAGAACAAGAGCTAATTATCAACAAGAATGTCCACCCCAAGGTGATTTTATTTTCTACAATTTTAATGCAAGAAATGTTCAATTCAATTATTATTATTATTTTTTAATCTATTCGATTTATATTAACATCACCAAAACACTATTACGTCATCAAACTACATCAATAATTATACTGAAGTATATTAATTATTTTTAACTAAAAAATTGCAACGGTTTATATAATTATTTATCGAAACAGATCCAAACCAAAAGCGAATAAGCATTTACAAAAAATCAATAAAAATGAATTTATTTAAAGCGTTTTGATTCCAGCGGTTCTCTACGACAAGACCTCAAGGACTTCTTCGAGTTTCCGCATTTTTTATTCCTAATTTTTATTTAATATTAATCTATTGTTAACGAAATCTGTATTGTAAATATTATTTATTTCTTTTTTATGCCTTACGTTTTATTCACATAAAGTTGTAATAGAGATTGTAATAATTATTGCATAAAAGAAAAAGAAAAAAATATGACTGTTAGTAGAGTAGAACATCATTAGATTACTATATCATGCTCTGTTTTATTTGCTTACACTGTATTTTAGAAAAGTTTAAAAAAGAAAACTCAAAATTCAATCTAAAAATAAAAGTTCAGCTTTTATTATTTTAAGTATAATTTTTACACACTCATTTAATGCTTAATTATGTCTGAAATTTAAGAAGTAAAATTAAAAAGTATAAATTAAAATTAAAAATGTATTAGACTTTCTTAAAATGAAAGGAACCCGAGAGATATGAGATAAATTGTTATCTAAGTGAAAGGAATCAGGCTAGACAAGAACTCAATAGGTATTGTATGTATCACATAGCAAATTTACATGTTATTTTATTTCTTTAGTTTTACTTTGGTGCTCTACCAACTATCATATATTTACTTTGTCTACTGTTAAAATATGGTTTTAACCATAGTCATAAAAATTTTTATGACTATGTTTTATGACTATGTTTTAACTTAGTAAACTTTAATTATTTAAAATTTGCTAAGTTGGTCATTAGCTAATAGTTTAAAAAGAAATAAGTTGTCGCAATCAAAGTAAGAATAATTTTATTTTCTGATCAAATTGCAAAATTTGTTTGCACTGATAGCTATTATGTTTTTGTTATTCTGTGTAATAGCTAATTGTCTTTTCAATAAATATCTTTTCTTACAGATTTTGACTATTTTTAACATTGCTCCAGAAAACATCAGTAACAGGTAAATCTGTTTATAGTTTGAATCATTAAAGTTTACTTTTTTTATCATGTCTTAATTTATTATTATTTTGATACTGTTCTGATGCGGCCCACATCTCATAAGACACATAAGGTGTGGGCTTAAGTTTAGGGCAAAAGCTCTGCCCTCCTTTTCTTTTTATTTTAATAAGATACTTAAAGTGAGGGCTTAAATTTAAGGTAAAAGCTCTGCCCTCCTCCTTTTTTTTAATATACAGTGCTAATCCTGTAGAAAGTAGAGTATGAGAAGAGAGAGAGAGAGAGAGAGAGAGAGAGTGGTGGGAAAAAAATATGCTGCATCTATAGTTAGTATTTTTGTAGTTAGTTAATCTTGGTAATGCAAATTTTTTTTTTTTTTTGTAAATATATACATTTCTTTATATATTTTGTTTTGTTATTATGTATAAATAAACTGAAATAAATAAATCCAGGTTATTCATCAGTATTTTTTTCCTTTTTTAATTCAATTACATGTTTTTTTTTTATAAGCATATGAAATTTTTGAAACAGGCTCGGGTATGCTTAAGCAAAAAGTTAAAAGAAGCTCAAAAATATGCTTAAACTTAAGCATATTTATAATAAATTATGCTTATTTCAATGCTTTCTAAAAATGCGTGCGTTACTAAAGGTTAATGGTTATAAGAAAAATAAAAGGTCGACTTTAGTACAGTATAATAAAAAATAAAAAATATATACTATATACAAATGTTATCAATGAAATAATAAAATAAATAAAATTTGAAATAAATGAAATAATAAAATAAATAAAATTTGAATTTTTTAAATGGTTTATCGAGGCTCAGAAATATGCTTACATATGCTTATTTTTTTCCAAATCTGAGCCTCCATATGCTAATAAACGTTATGCTTATAAAAAAAAAAACATGTACTTTTTTTAGATTATTCAGATGACGTGTTAGTTCAATATAGATATGCAATTAAAAACTATTAAAAATTGTTATGCTTTGTTAATTTGTGAACAAATGTGTAAAGGAGCGTTCATAAAAGGGCGTCCAATAACGGTTGTTTCCCTCCCCCACTCCCCCCGTATTTTGCAATACGCTTCTTCGAATACCCTCTGCCTCCCTAAAAGTACCTACGCTTTTAACCTATTTATCTAACATTTTATGACTTTTTTTTAAATTTAGTATCTCCTTTTTCTTTATAATTGACCCACTGCCCTCCCTTCTCATATACGCCATTTTCAAACCCCCTCTTCCCCTCCTAGCGTACGTACTTTATGGACGATTTCTAAATAAAAATATCTTTAATTTTACAAATTTTATTAGGCATTTTTTTTGAAACCACAATCCGTCACAATTCATATTTTATCTGTGTGAACGAAATTCTGTGTAAGTATCTAACGTAATCTTCAAATTATGTAAATTTATTAAAAATTAAATGTTACAGATTTACTTTTATTTAAAAACTTTGCGGCGATATTTTTAATCTATATGCATTTTAATAAAGCATTTATATCCCGTTTTATAATGATTAATAAATCTTTTGTTTATTAAACAATGTATAAAGATAATACTATAGGATGCCAAAGTGGTTGAAGTGCTTCGCGTGGGTTGAATCCTCTCGTTTTCACACTTAATTTTTTTTTTTAATTTTTCCAATTTTCTAGAATACAAAATGAAACAATTTTAAAGGTCTATAGATATTATATGCATATCATATAGAAAGATATTAAATACAGGGTTACCACTATAATTTTTAAAGTTTTTCCCTGAGATGTACTTTTCAAGTTTCCTGAGTTTTCTATATTCTTTCATGTTCATCAACAAGATTATTATTTTCTTTAATTAGACAATCTTTATATTTGACAAACTAAAACTTATACAAAAACATCTTGCAAACTTATTATTATATGTATTAGCAAAATATTATTGAAAAACAAAATTGTTGTACAAAATTTCAAATAAAAAAAAAAAAAAAAAAAAGATTTTTCTTAAATTTTATGAAAATTTTAAAAAATTCATGTTTTCCAGGTTTTCCCTGGGATTCATGCTATTTCCAGGTATTCCAGGTTGAGTGGCAACCCTGTATATAATATAACAAATGAAAGAGAGATTTTTTTTAAAAAACTATAAAGGTTCTAAAAACATAATAACACTGTAAGAAATTTGTTGCGCATGTGTCATGACAGAGTTTAAGGTTTTAATGTGCTTAGTAATAGATGAAGTGTACGCATTAAAGAGACAACATTCTTATTTATTAAATTTTTTTTTACATGGAAACTTTAATTTTCTTTAATATTAACAGGGCAAGAATCCTAATAACGATCTTTTCCCGGTATTTTGAATTTTTCTGAATTTTTAGTTTTTACGGATTGCCAAAACGTTTTTTATAAATATACAAGTTTAGTAATATATTTTTGCAATATCACTCATAATAAAGTTAAAAAAAGTTTGAAACAACTTAGCTAAAAGCAGAGAATTTCGAGCACAATATTAACCCTTCATTTTTTAAATGCTTTTTTAAACTTTTCAGGTTCATAATCTAATTACCAAAAAAAAAAACTTGATTTTGAGGGTTAGGGTTTGTTTGAACTTATATATCTTATAAAACCTATTATTTAAATAAATTTATTTTGATATTTTATAATTTTCCACTAACACTGAAAATTAAAATTTTTCAATTATCTTTATTTTTAGTGAAGATATTCAGTTTTCCTAATAAGTGTCCGCTTTTGCGGTTTATTGTAGTTTTACTAAATAGCATTTAGTTAATATAATTTTAAATATTGTACAATAACTATTTAAATACTTACGATTTAAAAAAACCTTGAAAAATATAAAAAAGAAAGTGGCACCTTAGCCAAATGGTTCTATAAACTAAAAAATAAATAACCAAAAAGA